GGGTGATGTGCGGCTCTCCCGGCCCCCCGCGTCCCTTCGCTTTCCTCCAGCAATCCGGGCGGTGCGGGCTGTGCGGAGGGGAAATGGTGCCAGTCCTGCCGGGGGGAGCAGGAATCGGGAGAAACGCTCCCTGCCCCGCTCCCGGCACCACGGGAATTCCCAGCACCCTCAGGAGTCCCAAATCCAGGGATCTCTTTACACCTGGAGTGTCCTGAGCGGTTCTGAGCTGGGGGGGAGCTGGCCTGGGGATCCACGCTGGGGAAGCTGCTCCCTCTCTGCTGCGTTTTTACTGCAGAGGTCTAAGTGATAATCTTTGCCTCTTGATCTGCAGGGAGGAGCAGGATGAGCTGCACTGCCAGGACACGGACTCGGACGTGCCGGAGCAGCGGGACGGCAGGTGCAAGGTCAAGTGGACCCAAGAAGAGGTGAGTGAAGAGCCTGGTGCTTGCTCAGGGGGGGTGTCTGGGTTAAGACTCTGCCAGGGCACCTGGGGCTTGGGTCCCTCCACCCCAGTGCTCACCTGTTGGCTACAACACCCTCCTGCTGCCTTGCTACTGCAGAAGACCATGTGTATGTTCTACTGGGGAGAGCTGAGGCCTTAATGAACCTAGGAGGTTCAGGGGAGTTTGAAGTGCAGCCTGGAGAGGAAGAGCCCCCACTGCTTTAGTATCTGAGACCTGAGTAAGGCATCTGCCTGCAGATCTCTCGTGAGCAAAGAGAGGTTCTGGAAGATGGCTGAGGCCTCCAGCAAGTGGAATTGCACAGTGAAAATGTCCTCCCTTTTCTGTAGCAAAAGACATGGAGTATTGAGATGGATGGGATCGTGGCTTGGTCATCCTGTCTGAGAGCCAGAAAATAGTTGGGATATTCTCTCCCCTCCTGCTAGTTCCTCCATCTTTGTTCCGTGTGAAAGCTACAAGTTGTCCTGTTTCCCCCATGTTGTGCAGGGAGTTATTTTATGCCTCTCTTTGCCCAACCAGAGCACACACACAGAGCTGAGTCAGGCCTGAGTGTGACCACAGCAGCTGAGCTCTTGTTTAGTATTCATTGTAGAAGCTTGCCCTGGTAGAGAGCCTGGGACCAGTCAGGGTGTGGAGCTCACTTGGAACAGGAGTGCTGCTGGAAGATGGCATAAACTACCTTCCTCCCCTGAATGCAGAATGCAAAAAAACCCTAACCACCACCTTGACAGCTCAAAGCATCTAGATTCTCTTGATGCTATCAGCCCATGGGTGCCTGTGGTGTGTGTTGCCTCAGTGTATGTGAAAGTGGATGTCTTTGTTCTTTGCAGGATGAGCAGCTGAAGATGTTAGTAAGACATTACGGGCAGAATGACTGGAAGTTCCTGGCCAGTCACTTTCCTGTAAGTGACCCTTGCCCAGCTGGGAATCATAGTGTTTGCATGTTGCTTCTTGTGCTCATTGCGCTGGTTCTCTGTGTCTGTGCAGCACTTTGCACAGTGGGACTTTGTTCCTTGGCTGCAGCTCTAGGCTGGGAAGCTCTGCTCCTTCAGGGCAGGAGGCATCCTTCTTGTGTAGAGGACTTCCAGGGGCGAGTCTGTTGGAACTGAGGTTCTTGTGTGTGTGCTCATTGCCCTAGTCAGTCTGCATTCTCCATGTGCTTCTGCAGGTTTTCTGTGGGACACCTTGTGTCTATGTGGGGGCTGCTGTTGCTGCAGGGGCTCTGGGAGCCCCTAGACTAACCCCTGGCTGCTCTTGTTCCTGTTCCCAGAACCGCAGCGATCAGCAGTGTCAGTACCGCTGGCTGAGGGTGTTGAATCCAGACTTGGTTAAAGGCCCGTGGACCAAAGAGGAGGACCAAAAGGTGAGTCAAGGCTGAGAGAATCTGAGTGTTGGTCTGTGACTGCAGAGTGTCAGATCCTCAGGTCTTTTCTTGTAAGCTGTGGGTAACATTTTCCAATGGTGGACACCTTCAAGAGCAGCACGCTGAGCTGTTCTGAGCAGCCTAGTGCAGACCCGGTTGTGATGAGCAGAAGCAGGTCTTGGCTTTTTTAGCTAAACACCTTCTGCCTTTCACACAATACTGCTACAGCAGGCTGCCAAGGGAGAGAGCAGAAAAGGGAGTGAATTCATCTGCCTGCTGGCAGAGCTGCACCTGACCTGGCCATGTTGGTCCTGAGAAAATAAGACTGGTATTTCCTGTGCCACAGCAGACAGCCTGAAGGGGATGGCTGAGGCTGGCTGGGTGAAACACAGCTTCTGTGAGCCTGTTTCTCTGCTGATTCCAGAGTGACCTGACAGGAGCCAGCTCAAGCTCATAATCTTGATATGTTTAAGAAAACATGGAGTTCGTTCCAACTTTTACCGATGTTTTCTGCTGCAAAACTTAGTTTTTGAGATTTTCTGTGAAACTTCTGCTCCCCTATTTCTTTCCCGTTTAGTCCCTTTCCAGGCTGTTACTCCCATCTGTGCATTATGTCAAGGAAGCTTATCTTGTCATTTCACCTCCCTAGAGCAGAGCAAGAGCTGCCTACTCTCCCTTTCCCTTTGCATGTCCTGACTGGCAGCCTACCCAGTCATGCCCACTGCCATCCTGGCCAGGCTGGGCTCCAGCTCTATCCTCCTGACACTGCACATTGCTGTTCCCTGCAAGCATTCCAGTTCCCTGGCCTGTGCCTCAGTTTAGTGTCTTTTGTCTGTTTTTCTGCACTTAGTAGTCAAGTCTGTAGTAGGGACATTTGTTATGGGCCAAGGTCACTGTGAGCATCACCCACAACTTTCAGTTGAGCTCAGCTGGCCGGAGTGAGCCTGTCAGTCTCTTCTCTAAGGTTTAGGTGGGCTGAACATTGCAAGCTGTGTCAACCTGACTGTACCATGGACATGTTGCAGGCACTCACAACACATTTCCTGCCCAGAAGCATTTCCACTGAGCCTCAGGCAGAAGTGACAAAGTCCTAGGGGAAGGGGAAGTGGCAAACTGGAGGGTTCTGAAGTGAATGTGGCTCATTTATGCTTTGGAGGTCTCACTGTGTGTCCTGTGGGGCATGGAGCTGCAGCCCTGGCATGTCCTTGGTGTAGCACACTGTTAAAGAGAGGCTGTGCCTCTGTCCCAGCAGGCAGACCAGGTGGGGACTGTTGTCATGTGGCCAGGTCCTCAGGGGGAGGGAGAGCAGAGGAGCCTTGGAGCATGTGGGACATGCTCAGAAATGGACATTCTAAATCGGGGCATTTCTGCCCCCTGGTGTAACTGCCAGTCTCCACCCCACCTTCTGTGAGCAGTTGTCTGCATTCACAGGTGCCATGTGGCAAAATGTCTGCATGGAAAACAGCCTCTTTCAGACATTGGGCCGAATTGTTGCTCTCACAAGTGCTGACACACCAGGTTGTCAGGGCTGGGTCCCTCCAACTTGCTTGTTCTAAGGGACCTCTCTGTCTGCCCTTACCTGGTCCCAAGAGAGATGAAGAGCAAAGCCTGAAGAAGACTGTGTTGACCTTCCCCTCCTTTATTCTGTTTCCTTATTTCCCTCCCACTCTCTTCAAAGGTAATTGAACTGGTTAAAAAATATGGCACCAAACAATGGACCCTGATAGCCAAGCACCTGAAAGGGCGCTTAGGGAAGCAGTGCCGGGAGCGCTGGCACAACCATCTGAACCCTGAGGTGAAGAAATCCTCGTGGACAGAGGAGGAGGATCGGATCATTTTTGAGGCCCACAAGGTCCTGGGGAATCGTTGGGCAGAGATTGCCAAGCTGCTGCCTGGGAGGTAGGACCTCTTTGCTTCACAGGTGGGTGTCCCTTGGAGATCCATGTGTTGGACTCGCAGGATGGGGTGGAGAGCATGTAGGAGCTGTTAGCTGTGCTTTAAAGCTGCTGGAAATGGTCGTCTCTGTTTCCTCCTTTCTCTGCAGGACCGACAATGCTGTGAAGAATCACTGGAACTCGACCATCAAGCGCAAGGTGGACACAGGAGGTTTCCTCAATGAAACTAAGGAGTCCAAGTCACTCTACTTGCTTGTGGAGGTGGATGACAAGGAGAGCCAAAGTCAGACGGGAGCTGAGAGCCAGGTACTGCAGCAGCATGTTTGCAGCAGGCAGCTGGGTCAGTCCCCTGCTCTGCTAATGCATATCAGAGCTTATCATCCACCCTTCTGCTGCCTCTTCTGTGGCATTTGCCACAGCCTGGTGTCCACATAGATAGTCTGTGCCTTCCCCTGGTCTTCTTCAAGATACTGACTCCTGGGAGATATCTCCCTACAGGAGCTAGAGGTGTCATGTGTGCCTGAGCCTGTTATCTGGGTGAAGAACAGCAGTCTGCTAGTGCTGTTATCTTGCCAATCCCAGCATTAATTCAGTCTTGGAGACTGAAGATTTGTTTTTTGGCTCCATTGTGCTGTTGCTGTTGGGAGAAGGAGCTGCTCCAGACAGTGTGTGGGGAGTGAAGAGGTTTTGCCCTTCTTTCCTCTAAAAAAGGGAGCAAGGAAGTACACCCATTTATTATTTTTTTTTTTGTAAATGAAGAAAGCATGTAGTTTTCAAATGTGGGCTCTTGGAAAGTAGGAAATGCAGAATTAGTGCTACCTGCTCAGCCTTCCTGCAGCTTCCTCTTGGGATACTGTAAAGTGAAGTCTTCAGTTAAACAGACCTGTGCTTATTGTGTTGCATGGTATCCAGCCTGTGGTGTGTGGGACAGAGCTGTGAGGGTAAGGGGGATGTCAAACTGAGAGTCAGGTAGGAGAGCAGGCAGAGCTGAACGTATTCAGGGACACTTGCTTATTGTCCCCAGGACTTGACATTATTCCCTGGGTTTCTCCTAATGACCAGACTTCTTGTTTACACACAGAACCCCCTGCCAAACGGCCCAGTCGATACCTCTGAAATTAAGGAAGAGGATGTCAGTGATGAGGAGGTGACAGGAGTGCAGGAGCTCCCTTCAGAGCTGCCAGCTGCTGAGCTGGTGGAGCAAAATGCTGAGGGGACCCCAGAGGATGCTGTGCCTGAGGATGCTTCTTCCTTTATCTCATCGCCCTACAAATGGGTCGTTGAAGCTACCAACTACTTGTACCCAACACCCGTGCCAGCCTTCAGTGAAGCTCTGGAGATGATTGAATCGGTAAGTAATAGACCCTTGGTCCTCTGGCTCATGTAGGGAGGCTGGTCCACATCTTTTTCCCTTGAGTGAACTTGCTGGTTCCCCTTGCTCATCACCATGGGCACCCTGAGGAGGGCTGGGTCCTGTCATTAGCTTGTGGCTTCCCACCATCTCTTCTTCTAGGGCTGGATTAGGCCTTTCCAGCTCTCCAGGGTTGCTCTAGACTTACAGATTCCTGTAGGTGGGTGTCCTTGTGTGTGGATTCTGCATGGGCTGACAGACCTGATCTCAAGCCTTCCTTTCACAAAACTTCACATCCATGCTCCTGGGCTTTCCTTTCCCTCCTGTTTTGGGATAGGATAGGGCAGACTGGGAGTGAGCCAGGCCCACTTTGTAATATGCAGGACAGACCCCTTCACACTGAGATGACACCACCATTTGATGTCAGTGGAAGTGGCTTCACTGAGATAAGTAATTTTGGGCCAGTCAAGCAGCGTTTAGGTCCCCAGGGTGATGTGGCTGGGCAGGAGGCTGCAAAGGATCAGCAGAGCACTCAGCTGCCATCAGAGGGAAAGGTCCCTGTAGTTCCCAGCCTGGCTGAGGAGTTTATGAGCTGATTATCCGTGAAGGATCCACATTGCATGTGTATAGGAAGACAGGGAGTCTGTGCCCAAGGCTTAACAGCCCATCTGTGGGTCCTAAGGGGCCTGCTTGTAAGGGACTTGGGGTACTGGTGGGGTTGAGCTGCCAAGCAGCTGATCTTTGAATAGGTCTGGTTATTTTTAGTCTGGCCAGCTGTAGTGATGTGCCCAAGACAGTGGTTTGGTGTTGGGTGACAGTCGCTTCATTCAGCCACTGTCCCCAGACCTGTCCCCAGCTGCTGTTTTTGTCCCCTCTGTGTGGGGCTGCAGCTGTTTGTGCAGCTGTGCTGTGAGCCCAACTGGGAAACCAGCCTGGCGTAAACAGGAAAATGTGCCCTGTGCACAAGCAGCAGCTTTCAGCTGGGTCAGTTCCCTGCTGGGGCTCTGGCTGTGCTGGCAGTGGAGAGGAGGAGGCCTTGAGCTCTCTCTCCTCTAGCCAGGCTCCTTACAAAAGGTGGTGCAGCCTCACAGACACACACAGTTATTTCACCTCCCAGTTCATCTCTGCATCTGCACCGGTTGGTGGCTGCTCAGCTTTCTTCCCTGGGCTGCCTCTGATGGTTTCCTTCGTGTGCAGGACCCAGACGGGTGGTGTGACCTGACCCAGTTTGACCTGCCTGAGGAGCCCTCCGCTGGCAGCAGCAGTAGCAGCAACAGCCCCGTGAGGGAAACCCCCAGCAAACCAGCGCCCTCCCTGCCCAACGTGACCGAGTACCGCCTGGACGGCCACACCATCTCCGACCTGAGCAAGAGCAGCAAGGGGGAGCTCATCCCCATCTCCCCACATGCAGAAGTGAGCTTTGGCACGCCACCCTCTGTGCTGAAGAGGCAGAAGAAGAGGAAGATCTCCCTCTCCCCTGTCACGGAGAATGCCACCAGCACCAGCCTTTCCTTCCTTGACTCCTGCAACAGCATGACACCCAAGAGCACCCCTGTCAAGACACTGCCCTTCTCTCCATCTCAGGTACAGAGCAATGGCAGAGCCCAGTCTGTGCTCCTCTGCCTGGGGCTTGGTCATGAGCTAATAAGCACGTTTGTGCTCTGTCTGTGTGCCCTAATACCATGGATTTCCTGTGTGATGGGCAGGACACGTGCCTGCCATGAGGAGGGACCACCTTTGTGCAGATCCTCATGCCTGCCTGCTGCTGGATCCCTGGAGCATGGTTCTCCTGTCCCCACAGCTTTGCTGCCCCACCTGTGGGTAGCTGTGCAGCACCAGTGGACAGTGGCTTTCCCTGGTCACTTCCAGTGAAGTTACACAGGCAGGCTGGGCAGCATGTGCCTTGTGCAGATCTTGGAGTTGCTGTGCTTTGGAAAATGCTTCTGGGATTGTCTATGTTGCAGAGGGGCTTAGTGTCTTTCAGCCTTTGCCATGAGTGTATCAGTCTATAAGAGTCATCCTGGTTTGTACTGGGACAGATCCCTCTTGAACCACTGAGTGTGGAAGGATTGTCCTTGCTTGCGTTTTCCCCCATATTTAGGAAGAAGTAGTGATATGTGATACTGTGCTATGATGCTTGAGACTGAGTGTCTGTCTTCTCTGTGCAGTTCCTAAACTTTTGGACCAAACAGGATACACTAGAACTGGAGAACCCCTCTCTGACCTCCACACCTGTGTGCAGTCAGAAGGTGATTGTCACCACCCCACTGCACAGGGACAAGACCCCTTTGCTCCAGAAGAACTCGGCGTGAGTGCTTTCCTCCTCCCCTATCCCCACCTGAGGGCACCCTTTTCCAGTTCAAACATACCTACCCCACTACTTGCATGGGCATGACTGGGAGAAAGGCAGGGCAGGATTGGGATGTTCATCAATGGATGTTTTTCCCTAAAGACAGCTCCTCTGTGAGCTGCAGGGAACAACTGTCCAGGCTGCGCTGGGCTGCAGCCAAGTGACCACCCTGGTGCTCAGCTGCTGAGTGGGCTGTTGCCTTCTGTGCATGTCTTTGTCTGGGAAACATTGCTGTGCTGTGAGCTCTGTGCCAGCAGGGAAGGGTTGTGGTGTCCTCAACAAGAGCTGTTCAGATCCATCCCTTTAGCTCTGCACCCTCTGCTTTGCCTGCCCTGAGGGGCAGTCCAGGCTGATGGTTACCCAGGGTGCTGTACCAGGCAGGTGAGAAGGGGTGGTCAGCACAGGCAGCACTTTGCTGGCTGACATGTCACTGCCCTGATCAACACAGGGTGTAGGAGTGCTGGCAGTCTAGCCAGGCAGGTGGCTTCTGCTGCCACCACATGGGACTCTGCAGGTGGCTCTTTTAATGAGAAGGCTCAGAAGGACAGGGGTTACTTGGTGTGGGTTACAGCATGTCTAATTCTTCATCTTGCCCACTCTCTGTTGCCAGCTTCGTCACACCAGATCAGAAGTATGTGGTGGACAACACTCCTCACACTCCCACACCTTTCAAAAATGCCTTGGAGAAATATGGACCACTTAGACCTCTGGTGAGCACTGGGCAAGTCTGTCACTTGATGGCAGAAACAGAATGAATGGAAATGGGATGTGGGGTTGTTCAGCCTGGAGAAGGGAAGGCTCCAGGCAGGCCTTCTAGCAGCCTTCCAGTGCCTGAAGGGGCTACAGGAAAGCTGGGGAGGGACTGTTGATAAGGGGATTGTAGCAATAGGATGAGGGGCAGTGGCCTTAAACTGGAGCAGGGTAGGTTTAGATTTGGTGTTAGGAAGAAGTTCTTTACAATGACGGTGGTAAAGGGCTGGAACAGGTTGCCCAGGGAAGTTGTGGAGGACCCATCCCTGCTCGGGGCTTGATGAGGCTCTGAGCAACCTGATCTTGTTAAAAAGGTCTCTCTGTGCACTGCAGCAGGACTGGACTAGGTGACCTTTAAAGGTCCCTTCCATCACCACACGTTCTGTAATTCTATGTGGGGAAGGCTGCAGTGCAGCTGTGAGTGAGCTGTTATTTGGGCCACAACAAGATACAGTTTGGTAGTGCCAGGCTGAGATGGGAGGGATGAAGGGGATCTTGTCATGATGAACATATCATGGTAAGTAGCCACAGGACTTTAACTGGTTTACAGAGGAGCTTAAAAGTGCCCAAACCTGCCCTTGAATCAAGCTGCAGTGCTTGGCTACTGGTGACCTTAAGAAAAAGCAAGGGAACAATCTATGCAGGCATCTCTGAGGAACTAAGTCTCTCAATGCAGGTGTGGGGATGGCAGTTTCCAGTATCCCAGGCCTTCTGTGCATACTGGTCCCTCGATGGCACATTTGAGGTTCAGCTGATAAGTGTCTCTCATGCCTGGAGATCCTGTAAATCTGTGAGTCGTCCCAGCATATAGATTTTGACTGTCTTGTGCTTTCTCTCCTTTTTACACAAGCCACAGACTCCTCACCTTGAAGAAGACTTGAAAGAAGTGCTCCGAAGTGAAGCTGGCATTGAACTCATCATAGAGGATGATGTGAAGCCTGAGAAACAGAAGGGGAAACAAGGGGTGAACTGATTTTGCATCTAGTACCTGCTGCTGAGCTGTCTTGTGCTGCTAAGGGGTGTTCTGGCTGGTTTTGTTCATCCTGCTCTTGATGCTGAAAAGATATTGGCCTGTGACTGCTGCCTTTTAATCAGCAAGAGATGCTTGAGGTTCAGACCTGCTTAAAACAGGGCTGGCTGTGTCCTGGCCTATGCTGAACTTGGTCTGTGTTAGAAGATGCTGTGTCCCTATCCTTCAGGAGAGACCCATGGCACACATGGAGCATCTGTTGGGCTCCCAGGAGGCTGTGGGTTGGTGTGCAGGGTCTTTTGGGTCAGTTCCCTGGTGGCCTTCCTTTCCTACCAAAAGGGGCTTCCTCTTCTAAATCAGTGGCTCTTGATGCCAAGAAGAGAGCACTGAAAGCTGCTGTGCCCTGCGGCGGGGAAGGCTGCAGCACACCACCTCCCTGAGGTGCTGCTGCAATGAAACTTGGGCTGACATGAGCTTCATGTGCACCCTGGGCCCTCAGGATAGGAATTCCCTGGGTTGATTCATGGTGACCCTTGTTTTCCCATGTCCCTCAGTTGCGCAGGAGTCCCATCAAGAAGGTCCGGAAGTCTCTGGCCCTGGACATTGTGGATGAAGACATGACTCAGAATGCACTTGCCCTCCCCAAGACTATCTGTTTCAAAAGAGCCCAGGTGAGGGGGCCTGTGCTCAGAGCAGGGGCAGAGCTGACTTCTGCTCCAAAGACCTCCTGTGCAAAGAGCAATGGGAGCTTTGCTACCTGGGGTTGCCTTGGAATGGTACCTCTGAATGTGGATGGAGGGCTGGATTTGGTTGCTGGCCTTTTGGCCAGGCCAGATAGCAGCACTGTTAGAGCAAACAAACTTGTCTCCTTATACTTTTCTTTTTTCCCCTTTTGCAGCCTGTGAATTTCCTGTCGAGGTCCCTGAATCTTTCCTCCTCGAGCAGGAAGAACGACAGTGGTTTGCTCAACAGGGCCTTCGTGCAAGTGCAGCCAGAGAAAATGTCCTACAGGAAAATGCCGAGCCATTTCAGACCACCAGCACCGGTAAGCCCTGCAGCCACTGCTGTCCCCATCAGGAGATCAGCTGGAAGTGCAGCTCTGTTCCTCTGAGAGGAGGAGCAAGGGGATGAAGCTCTGCACACTCCTGCATAGGCATCCATAGGCTGTCAGGGCTACCTTGTCACTAGGGTTAGGAGATGACCATGTTTGTCATGCTACAGCTTCCTCCTGTTTATGTAAACCTGCCCTTCTGCTGAGGCTCAAAGCCCTGTGGTGTATCAGAGCTGAGCCTACTTAGCATGTTTGGCCTTGGATTTCCTCTTGGGAATCTGCACCCTGTCCCAGTCCATCAGGGAATTTGGGAGATTGATCCAGCACTGAAGTAAACCTTCCTTTTTCCAGTGATCACTCCATGGGTGGGAAACAGTCTCATCTCTTGTTTTTCTGAGCATAGCAAGTCTGAAGTGCTGTATAAATGCTTAACAAAAAAATGTATTTTCCACCTCTGTAATTGTTAGGGTGTTTCTAGGTTGTGGTGTGTGCCACAGGCAGCCTGGGCTGGCTTCATGCTGCTGTTTACTTCAACCCATGGCAGTACAGAGCTCCAGCTGATGTGCCACCTTGCCTCTGGTGCTGAGGGTGGTGCTGTTACAGCTACTCTGTCCTTCAGCTCCACACACAGTTGTGTCTGGCTGTTGCTGGGATCACAGCAGCCTAAAAATGCCTTTTGGGGCACAAAGAGTTTCTTGTGCTCTTTCTAAAATCTTCACTGCTTGTTACATTTGCAGGCAGAGTACATTAGTGGAGGGGTAACCTTGCTTTGTTGGCAGTGTGGCTTAGAGAAGGGGATTTGGACGTTGAGTTTGCAGATGTTTACTTGGGCCAAGTCATGGGATCTGCCCAGTGCCTTGAATGAGGATGGAAGTGCTCTGCTTGGTGAGAGGGGGTGACACTACAGTTGGGGGCTGGGATGGGGATGTGTTGTCTTCACTGAGGAGCCTTGGCTTAGTCTTCACAAAACACAGCAGCAAGGAGGGGTTGCAGCTGTCCCTGGATTAGAGTTATCAAAGCTCTTCTGACAAATAAGTGCTCCTCAGCCAGAGTAATTCCTTCCTCTTCTCAAAATAAACCCTACTTAAACACTTTCATTTCTCCTCCTGTCCTAGGCAGGGTTGAATTGCTCTGAGAGCTGATAGACCCATATAAATAAAGCTTTGGGAGTGACTTGAAAGTGACAGGCAGTTGGTGTGGTGACGGAGTACAAATACAGCTCTGCTGTCTGTGGACAATGGGATTTCACTGCAAAATTGTTGCTGGGTGACCTTTCTGCTTGCACACATGATTTTTCAGCTCATGATGTGGGGCCTTGATGAATCTGAAGGCATCAAATTATGGTGAAGGATGGTCTCTGACCAGTCTAGACCTGGGGGTGAACAACTTTAGGAATTGGACTGGTTGGGAATAAACCCTAAAGCTGTTAATTAATTTCTTCCATCCCTCTGGAATCTCTTCAGCACAAAGAGTCTTACTGGGTTTGTGCTTTGGGTTCTTTTTTTTTTTTTTTTTTTTGTCTCAGGAAAGCCCTGAAAAGGCTTGGGTTGTCCTGAAATGGAGCACTTGCCTGGGAACCTGCTGGTAGTGTAACCCCTCCTTGCTAGAAACAACCATCTCAGCTGAGTAACTAGTGCTGTAAAGGCTCCTCCTGGATGCAAGATGGGTGCTCCTAAGTCTGAAGCTTTATTTATTTGTTATTTGTGGAAGCCACATCCCTGAAAGTGAGCAAGGCCAGGCTGGATGGGGCTCTGAGCAACCAGATCTAGTGGGAGGTGTCTCTGCCCATGCAGGGGGATTGAAACAAGATGATCTTTAAGGTCCCTTCCAACCAAACCATTCTATGATTCACTTGTCTAGCAGATGCTGGTTAGTTTTATTTATTTTTGAGGTATTCTGTATCAGGGTATCAATGTGTTTGTCCTCTCCCATAATTCCTGTGCTGTACACGTGCTTTCTTTTCCCTCTGTAGATGACCAGGGCTTGGAAAGTGGTGGCCTGTGGTGGAACCAGAGACCAACTCTTCATGCAGGAAAAAGCTCGACAGTTTTTGGACGTGTTGAAACAGAGTCACACATCAAGGACCTTAATTTTATCATGAAGGATTGTTCTGCTTTTTTAATTTTATTTTTTATTTTTTTTTTAATAAAGGGAGGGGGAACCACGGGAAAAAATACCCTCTGCCAGCCCTGTAGAGTGTGGGGGTGAATTTTTTTCCTTCAGTTCCCAGGTAGATCTATATTGTAATAAATGGGGCTAACTGCTGGCTAATGTGTGGAATGCAAGTTATGGGATCCTTATGGAAAGGCGACTGAGGGAGGGTTGGAGAGCCAACAGCAAGACCTCTCTCTGCAAGACCTGGGTTCTGCAGAACCAGAATGAAGCAGCCATGTTCCACCTTGGATGGTGCAGTGGATAGTGGAGACCAGCCTTGCTGCCTGCCTGGATTTCCTGCTGGCTGCTCTGGTACCTCGGGAGCAGCTTTTACAAAGGTTCCTGTCTGTTTTTACTTCAACCCTTCCAGCTCTCCTCTGGGGATGGAGTGGTGCCCTGTGGCTGTGGGAGGAGGGAGGGTGATGTGCACTCGTGGGGAATGTGCTTTGGGGTGACTTTGGCCCTTTGCTCTCCACGGGCTGTTCTGCACTGCCATGCTGCGTGGGGAGCAGTGGGTGTCTTTTCTGGGGCTGTGCTCCCTCTTCAAATAAACCATGGTGCTAATATCACCCTGTCCCTTGGTCTTTGACTCTGCCTGGGGCCTGCTGTTTAGAAATGGTTTTGGCTGCTTTATGGGAAGGTGGCACAGTGTGCTTGAGCTCAGTGTGGCTGGGATGTCTGCAAAGCTGCAGGAGTGGAGGGAGGCTGCTGGGGCTGGTGGGTTGGGGAACAGCATCAGGAGTGTGTGTTGCAGCAGAGGCTGTTATGCCTTCAGAGGCCAAGGCTGCACCCATGTAGCCATTTGTGTGATAACAGTAATGTGGTGTCTTGTTTGCCATAGCCAAGGCTGAAATGTAGCAATTGTAGCAATACAGTAACTGGTTGCATTGGGAAAGGTGCTGGTAAAACTGAAGAGCAACTCACAGGTTAGACCAGCACATGAACTGCTCTGGGTGACCTGTGTTGGTGCTGTGTTCTGATGTGCCATCCTTTGCAAGCCACCAAAACCCCTGGTGGCAGATCTGCCTCCAGCAAGAGGACAGCACAGCAAAGGTGCAGCCTGAGAGGGTCTGTTCACCCCAGTGCCTCTTAATGGGGTCACTATCCCCAATCCCTTTGCAGGGTGTAAAACCAGCAGGGCTGTTCACATCTCGTTCTTCAGGTGGTGCCTTGCGTTGAAAAAGGATCCTTACTGACAAACTTGTTAATAAAAACTTGGATCCTGGGAAACAAGGGAGTTTCTGAAACCCAGCTCATTTCTCACTTCTACAAGCTCAGGGCCAAAGCAAATCCATGAAGTAATTTTTATTTCTGTTTCTCAGTGCTGCAATGTTTGCTTTGGAAAGACTGCTGGGACCACTTGTCTGAAAGCCTGGCTTTAGCTGCTTCCATTCTGGTGTTATTTTAAGAGAAGTTGTCATAAAACCATCCCTCTCTGCTTGGGCTTTAGTGGCCTTGGCTGTTCCTGTTCTGGGCAATCTTATAAATATAATCAAGCATAGAATTGCATTTTTTTTCCCCCAGAACTGATGTGAACTGGGAGTCCTGAGCTGGAGAATAAATTGGTGCATGAGCCCAGCACGTATGTTTGGGAGCTGCCCCTAAATTAAAGGGTTATGAGACTGAGAAGTATTAACTGCTGCTCTGATGCTGTAAATCCAGATAGTGGTGGGTGCCCTGCATTGCAAAGTGCTTATTAAGAAAGATTGAGGGGCAGAAAAATATCAAGGAAAACGAGCAAGGCCTTGAATAGTTAATGAGTAAAATGGCAATTAGCTTTTAATTGGAAAATGGAGCTCCTTCTGGTGTGGACATTGCCAGCCTGGCTTGGCTGTCCTGGGGCTTAGGAATAGGCACTGCTCTGGAGTGGGGATTTGGTTTTCTGTTAGTTTGGATGCTCTGCTTTCTTTTCAGTCAAAATCTCAGAGAGGTTGAGCTTCATGCTGCCTCTAAAGTCCCTGGATGGGAGCTGGAGACCCTGGCAGGGGGGCTTGTTGGAGACTCCTCTCAGTCCAGGGCTCCATGTCCCCATGGTGTCCCTGGTTGTGTCCTGACTGTTGTGCCTTTGAAGCCTCTGCTGTAACCCAGCCCTCTCGGGCTGTACAACCCTCATTCACAAAGAAAAACCTGGAAATTTAATTTAGGTTGATAAAAAAGAAGAGGACAAAAGAGTCCCAGGAGCTGCTTTGCCTTTGTTGAGCAGGAGTGGGATCTCCTTCCACGGCCTGGCTTGCTGGAAAGCTGCAAGAAGCCCAGGTTACTGCTTCATTTTCAACTTTGTATTTCTTTCTGGTGTTTTGCATTCCTCAGCAGATCAGATGATCCCTTGCTTGAATCCAAAGATGGAAAAAAAAGTTGATTTTTAGCAGGGCCAAGAGGTGGGCAGCACAGCCAGAGCCCTGTGGCAGTGCCCTGACTGCAAGTGAGATGTTCCTTCAAGCCAGGACAAGCCCTGAAAAAGCTGAGGAAAGCAAAAATACTGGGATAAGCAGAAAAAGAGAGGACACGCAGGGTTTGTTATTGGCTTTGTTGGTTTATTTATTGGTTTTATTTTATTGGCTTCCTTCAGGATGGAGCTGGGCAGTGCCTGGCAGGGCAGAGCAATGCTGAGCTTGCAAGGCTCTGTGGCTGGCACTGGGGGAGCTGCTGCCTGTCCCTCTGCTGCTGGGCTCA